CCCCCCCCCATTCAATTGTTCTACCAATGAACTCAATTAGTCTAAGTATATCCACTAGCTAGCACAGCTGACATATCCTTACACATGTATCCAAATCTGATCCTAGGCATAAACCCCAGGGAGTAGAATGAACATACTATAAAGTAGACCCCAGTTGTGTCCATACAACTCTCTTCAGTCATCAAATGTGCATTTTTTTTCCTCCTGCTTATTATTTTTTTTTATATTAAATTATATTGCCTAACACTCATTCCCTGAGTATCATCACAACACACCAAGTGTAGTTTCCCATCATTTTTAGATACTTTTGTAAGCGATGTTCTGAACCGGTGGTCTCTTCAGATTTTACTTCTCTTGTTGTAAAGTCCTTAACGTAGTCCAAAAAGCATGTTTCTGTAAGTTTATTGTAGGTTCCAAGAAATTCCTTAAACTGTTTTATCTGATCAGATTCTGGAATTTGTGCAGTCATATCCTTGTACTAGGTTTATTAGTAACCTTTTCTGATGCGTGAGTTTCCTTTTTCTGGGAAAGTAGATGTCTAAGACTTGTTTGAATGTCTCTGTTGAGGCCTGTTTTCTTACTTAAGTATAAGCTGTAGCATTGACTCCAGTACGAGGCTGGGCATGGGGGTTGCACTTTGGAGTCTAGGAGCTGTGTGGGTCCAGGTCAGGGCACTGCAGCCACTGGGTGTCCGATCCACATTGTCTTTGATAATGATAAAAGGTCCCTGAAAAATGTTTGGGACTAGCAGCTCCAAAGCATGCCATATAAGATAGCCTATTATATTGTGGGAAGAAAATATTAGAACTTTTTTTTTCTTTTATTTTAAAATTTTTTTATATACATTCAGTCACATTGTTTAGCTTACAATGTGAGCATTTCAATATGTGAACATTTCTCCCCAGTCCTGTTGATCAAAATATCTTCAAACGATAACACCACGCCTCCCCATCCCGTCAATGCTCTATCTCCGTATCCCTTCTCCAAATGCCCTTCCTTAGGCCCCACTCCTCTACACACACCTCATCTGGCATTCACACCCATCTCTTGTACAACCTTTAGTCAATCAGTTTCAGTCATAGAGTGAACTTTTATTGGTATTTCAATTTAACAAATGAAATTTACATGATTGGCATTTAATGTATGTGTAGACACTGGCATTTTCACTTTGTTGGTGTGTTAGACCACTGTGCCTCAGTTATAGTTAGGTAGGAAGAGATACAGAGGGTTGACAGAGGCACATTTCTTGTGCCTTTAGTTTCAACACGTTGGAATGAATTGCATAGATCTGAAAGTACTTAGATAGTTTAATTAAACCAAATCTCACAAAATAGACAATGGCATAAAAAGATTCCTGCAAAGAACCTGTAGATTGAAGACAGTACTACAATGTGAGTAGAAGTAAGCCACATGCCTGTTAATTCAGAGCTGGTGATTCATTCTGCTATGACTAATGAAGTAAAAATCAATGATATCCTAAGCCCATCTGAGAAGATATAAAAAAAATTGGAAATTATAAAGATGACAGTTTGATATATGGAATTATACCTATTATTGTTAACAATGAAATTTGCTGTTCTTTTGTCCCTTAAAATACTAGCTACGGCTAGTAAAAGGTCATCATAAGAAAGAAAACTTAAGCAAGTTTTTTGGTGACATCATTTTTTTGTTTTGTTTTTAAGAATTATTTAATTAATTTTATTTATTAATTATTATTATTATTATTAAATTTGAGAGAGAGAGAGGAGATAGAGAAAGTAAGCCACCAGATCTGGGATTTGAACCATGGTTGGCCATGTGGGAGTCCAGTGCTTTAACAGCTATGCCACCTGCCAGTCCCTTTCAGTGACATCTTAAAGTCATGTGATATATAATTCAATATCTAGAACACTTTCAATAAAATTAATGATAGATATTTAAGGACCTCCTTAACAGCAAAAGACCAATTATGATAGTGTATATTATTAGTTACACTAGTGACATATTTGTTCTTCGTGTTACTGTAAAATAGATAAAATAAAACAGGAAACAACATAGCAATACTTAGATTATTACTACTACTATTATTATTATTAAGAAATCACATTTATTTAGCTGCAGAAAGTGTGCACTCACCAAAGACAGAGAGAGAAATGGAAAATGAAAAAGCACCTTCAGGAGGGATGTCCACACTACAATTCCTTCTCTTCCATTCTTCTCCCTGGGTTTTGGGCAGACATACACACATGCCTGGTGTGTTTTTCAAGCCACAAAGTTCAGGATTTGAACCCTGCCATCTGCCATATGGGATTCAGCTGCCTTAACTGCTGTGTTTCCTGGCTGACCTTAAATGGATTATTTTCTGAGCAAATTAAAGATATCTATCTATCTATCTATCTATCTATCTATCGATAGATAGATAGATATATATATATCTCAAATTAAAGATGATTTGAGGCATCAAGAATTAAAACATGGGGCCAGACAGTGGTGTAGTGGTAGTATCACTGAACCTATCTACATGTGAAAGTCCCCAGTTCATGTCCCAGGGCCTCCCTGTACATGGCACATGTGTGCCTCCCTGTGATCTGGGCTGGCTGAGACTGGGGTGGATTGTGGTGTGAAGACCCTGATGGGAGTGCCTGTCTCTCTTTCTCTCTCTGTCTGTCACATAGGGAAGAAATAAAAGGATTTGAACTTGAGGCTGCTGTAGGCAACGTAGCAAGACCCTGTCTGAAAGAACTGGGAGTTGTGGTGTGATCCTGTGGTCTTAGCTACTTGGGAGGATCCTGTGTTTAAAGAAAAAAGTATCTCATTTGAACTACAAGACACAAAATACGATTTTAAAAAGAAATTTCTAGAGAGAGAGAGGGAAAGGGGCCTCCCTCTTAATGGGACATGGTCAATGCCACAATCCCTTCTCCACCCTGTTGGGATTTTGAGCACACATACACGTGTACCCTGCATGTTTTTCAAGCTTATGGGGCTAGGATTAGAACCATGTGATCGGTCAATGTGGGATCCAGCTGCCTTAACCACCTGGCCACAGAGCCATTCCTACAGAAGAGAACTTGAGTGACTATTTTCTCAGTTTTCCCATGGATGATACATAACTAATATCAACTCACATGCACAGGGGAGAGGTTAATATATTAAATACAGTGGATTTAGGCAATATGGTTTAATTCTGTCCTGGGAACTCAGGTAGTTGTATTGTGGGTGTGGCAAATTCTTAAAAGAATTTTGTGTTTTTACAAATGACTTTTTTTTTAGGTTACAGGTCCACCAGGTTGTGGAAAAACTCAGTTTTGTATAATGATGAGTGTTCTGGCGACATTACCTACTAACTTTTGTGTACATTAACACAGAGTCAGCATTTAGTGCTGAAAGGTAAGAGATTTTTCTTATTTTTCAATTGTAATGCTTTGGTTTTGTAACATACACAGAATAGACTATTTAACATTTACTTTTTTTTTAAGAACACAAGATGCTAGACACTGTTTAAAAGAATTTTCCTTTTAAGATGGACATGGGAAGCTGATTTTCTTTTTTCTTTCTTTCTTGCTTTCTTTCTTTCTTCCTATTTCTATCTCTTTCTTATTGGTGTAAGTGGGGTTCCTGGACAAGCTGCATTTTGCAAAAAGTCAGGAAAAAATAATTTCAAGAAACAGAAGGGGGCCAGCTTGTGGTCTGGTGGTTAAGGTGACTGGATCCCACAAAGATAACTGTGGAGTTCTAGTGCCAGACCCAGCACATTGAGAAACATGCCAGGATATGTGTGTACATGCCCCAAATCCTCAAAGAAGTAAGAAATGGGGGAGAAGGGATTTGTGATGTGACCATTAGTTGCAGAAGCTACAAGTACCAGTTAACCCTTAAAGTATAAGACAGAGGAATAATGTAAGCAACAAAAATAGGGTTAAAAAATTATTTGGTTGGGTCAGCAGGTGGTGTGGTAGTTAAGGTCCTATACTCCTACTGGATGCGTGTGCATGTGTGCCCGAAATCCCAGGAGGAGAATGGAGGAGGAGGGATTGTGGTGTGGCCATCTCCCCTAGGGAGTGATTTCTCACTTTCCCTCTCATTGTCCTTCTCCAGCGAGCACACTACCCCGTGACAACAACCTTTAAAAAAGAAAAGGAAGGTCAGCAGGTGATGTGGTTGAGGCGCTGGGCACTCTCTCATGGCTGACAGTGGTTTGAGTCCTGGACCTAGTGGCTTGCTTTCTCACTTTCTCCCTCTCTGTCTCTCTCTGGTCAAATTAAAATGAATGAATGAGTAAATAAAATTAAATAATTCTTGAAAGAAAATAGGAAAGAAAGAAATTGGGAAGAATATAAGTAGAAAATGTGGAGGGAGGAAAACTAATAAGAAAGACAAAAGGGGGACCAGCAGTTAGCATAATGGCTATGTCGCTGGTCTCCCACCGTGTCAAGTCGACTGTGGTTTGAGTCCCGGACCCAGTTATCTATCTATCTATCTATCTATCTATCTATCGATAGATATATATATATATATCTCAAATTAAAGATGATTTGAGGCATCAAGAATTAAAACATGGGGCCAGACAGTGGTGTAGTGGTAGTATCACTGAACCTATCTACATGTGAAAGTCCCCAGTTCATGTCCCAGGGCCTCCCTGTACATGGCACATGTGTGCCTCCCTGTGATCTGGGCTGGCTGAGACTGGGGTGGATTGTGGTGTGAAGACCCTGATGGGAGTGCCTGTCTCTCTTTCTCTCTCTGTCTGTCACATAGGGAAGAAATAAAAGGATTTGAACTTGAGGCTGCTGTAGGCAACGTAGCAAGACCCTGTCTGAAAGAACTGGGAGTTGTGGTGTGATCCTGTGGTCTTAGCTACTTGGGAGGATCCTGTGTTTAAAGAAAAAAGTATCTCATTTGAACTACAAGACACAAAATACGATTTTAAAAAGAAATTTCTAGAGAGAGAGAGGGAAAGGGGCCTCCCTCTTAATGGGACATGGTCAATGCCACAATCCCTTCTCCACCCTGTTGGGATTTTGAGCACACATACACGTGTACCCTGCATGTTTTTCAAGCTTATGGGGCTAGGATTAGAACCATGTGATCGGTCAATGTGGGATCCAGCTGCCTTAACCACCTGGCCACAGAGCCATTCCTACAGAAGAGAACTTGAGTGACTATTTTCTCAGTTTTCCCATGGATGATACATAACTAATATCAACTCACATGCACAGGGGAGAGGTTAATATATTAAATACAGTGGATTTAGGCAATATGGTTTAATTCTGTCCTGGGAACTCAGGTAGTTGTATTGTGGGTGTGGCAAATTCTTAAAAGAATTTTGTGTTTTTACAAATGACTTTTTTTTTAGGTTACAGGTCCACCAGGTTGTGGAAAAACTCAGTTTTGTATAATGATGAGTGTTCTGGCGACATTACCTACCTATATGGGAGGATTAGATGGAGCTGTTGTGTACATTGACACAGAGTCAGCATTTAGTGCTGAAAGGTAAGAGATTTTTCTTATTTTTCAATTGTAATGCTTTGGTTTTGTAACATACACAGAATAGACTATTTAACATTTACTTTTTTTTTAAGAACACAAGATGCTAGACACTGTTTAAAAGAATTTTCCTTTTAAGATGGACATGGGAAGCTGATTTTCTTTTTTCTTTCTTTCTTGCTTTCTTTCTTTCTTCCTATTTCTATCTCTTTCTTATTGGTGTAAGTGGGGTTCCTGGACAAGCTGCATTTTGCAAAAAGTCAGGAAAAAATAATTTCAAGAAACAGAAGGGGGCCAGCTTGTGGTCTGGTGGTTAAGGTGACTGGATCCCACAAAGATAACTGTGGAGTTCTAGTGCCAGACCCAGCACATTGAGAAACATGCCAGGATATGTGTGTACATGCCCCAAATCCTCAAAGAAGTAAGAAATGGGGGAGAAGGGATTTGTGATGTGACCATTAGTTGCAGAAGCTACAAGTACCAGTTAACCCTTAAAGTATAAGACAGAGGAATAATGTAAGCAACAAAAATAGGGTTAAAAAATTATTTGGTTGGGTCAGCAGGTGGTGTGGTAGTTAAGGTCCTATACTCCTACTGGATGCGTGTGCATGTGTGCCCGAAATCCCAGGAGGAGAATGGAGGAGGAGGGATTGTGGTGTGGCCATCTCCCCTAGGGAGTGATTTCTCACTTTCCCTCTCATTGTCCTTCTCCAGCGAGCACACTACCCCGTGACAACAACCTTTAAAAAAGAAAAGGAAGGTCAGCAGGTGATGTGGTTGAGGCGCTGGGCACTCTCTCATGGCTGACAGTGGTTTGAGTCCTGGACCTAGTGGCTTGCTTTCTCACTTTCTCCCTCTCTGTCTCTCTCTGGTCAAATTAAAATGAATGAATGAGTAAATAAAATTAAATAATTCTTGAAAGAAAATAGGAAAGAAAGAAATTGGGAAGAATATAAGTAGAAAATGTGGAGGGAGGAAAACTAATAAGAAAGACAAAAGGGGGACCAGCAGTTAGCATAATGGCTATGTCGCTGGTCTCCCACCGTGTCAAGTCGACTGTGGTTTGAGTCCCGGACCCAGTGGCTTCAACTTATGCTGGGTGTGTGTGCGTGCATGCCCAAGATCCTGAGAGGAGAATGGAGGAGAAGGGATTGCGGCGTGGCCATCCCCCCTGGGGGGTGATTTCTTGCTTTCTGTCTCTCTATCTCTCTCTGCCTGGCGAGCACACGTGCCCTATAGCAAAAACCTCTACAAAAAAAAGAAAAAAAAAAAAAGAAAGAAAGACGAAAGGAAAGCTGCCTTATAACTAATTTCTACGTGGAGTAAAGTATTGGTGGAGTAAAGTATTAGTGGATGGATATTTATTTTTAAAGAATTTTTAAAATTTAATTTTATTCATTGTCATTTTATTTTATTTGAAGTTGACTAGAGAGAAAGAAAGAGAGAAGGAAAGTGAGAAAGCAAGCTGTCAGGTCCAGGATTATGAACCATGGTCAGCCATGTAGGAGTCCAGCTGCCTTAACTACCATGCCACCTGCCGGCCTGTGAATGGATATTTATAAGCAAGAATGTTTATACTTTAGAGATTGAATTCTGTTGTTTTAGTCAAAGTCTAGTATAGGTATAGTTTTTTGAGTCTTTCTCTATGTCACTATGAATCAAATCTCTCTTATTTCTCTCCAAAGAGTACTGTTTACTTCATAGCATATTATCTAACCAGATAAGTTCCAAATGAATTATTTTGCCCAGCACTTATTATTTGCCACTCAATGTCTCTTGGTTATTTAGTCTTTCCAAGTATATGCCACTGGTCTGTAAGCAATTTGAGTTTGTGTTATATCTTCGTATCTTGAAAGCCAAATCCAATGTCTGATACAAAAAATGTTTGATAAATGAATGAACTAGCAAGTGTTTTTCCTAGATCGTGAAATCCAGATACCATTTTTTTTTTAGAAAGATTTTTGCTATAGGATGTGTGCACTTGCCAGAGAAACAGAACGAGACAGAGAGATAGAAAGTGAGAAATCACCTTTCTGGGGGGATGGCCATGCCACAATCCCTTCTCTTCTGCTCTCCTCTTGGGATTTTGGACATGCATTCACATGTGCCTGGTGTGAGTTTCAAGCTGCTGGATATGGGACTTGAACCATGGTCGGCCATGTGGGAGTCCAGCAACATAACCATTACATCATCTTCTGATCCCATTATTTCTCTTTTACTATAAATGTGTTTTTTGAAAGAGTTTGTATAGGGTTGGTGTTATTTCTTCCCTAAATATTTTTTTGAATTCACCATTGGGGGCACTTGGGTCTACAGTATTCTTTGGGGAATATGTTTAAAAACAAATGCAGTATTTTTCATAACTAGAACTATCCAAGTTATTTATTCTTTTTTTAAAAAAATAATTATTTATTTAATCTTATTTATTCATTCATTTATTTTAATTTGACCAGAGAGAGACACACACACAGAGAGAGAGAAGGAAAGTGAGAAAGGAAGCCACCAAGTCTGAGACTTGAACCATGGTCAGCCATGTGGACGTGTCCAGTGCCTTAGCCACCACACCACGTTTTGGTCCCCAGGTTATTTATTCTTGAGAGAGCTTTGATGGTTTGTATCTTTCTTAGGGTTTTTCATCTGAGTTGTCAGATTTATTGACATCCAATTGTTCACAATATTTCCTTAGTACCCTCTCGATATGTATAAAATCTGTAATGTCCTCTACTTAATTCCTGATAGTAATACACTGTCTACCACCCTACCTTCTGTCTGTCAGTTTGGCTTTAGGCGTATCAGTTTTATTGATCTTTTCAAAGAACTAGCTTTTGGTATCATTGATTTTCTTCTCTGTATTTTTTTTTTAATTATTTCATTGATTTCCTCTTATTATCATTCTTTCTTTGGTTGCTTTAGTTTTCATTTGCTTTACAGGTGAAAGTTTGATCACTGATTTTTGACCTTTCTTTTTTGGTGCTAATATCTAATGCTATAATCTTGTCCTTACACAGTTTTAGCTGAGTCCTAAACATTTTAATATGCTATGTTTTCTTTCTTTCTTTTTTTTTTTTTTAGGGAGAGGTTTTTGCTATAGGGTGCATGTGCTTACCAGAGAGACAGAGACAGAAAGTGAGAAATCACCCCCTAGGGGGATGGCCACACTGGAATCCCTTCTCCTCCATTCTCCTCTTGGGATTTTTGGGCATACACACGCATGTACCCAGCATGAGTTTCAAGCCACCGGGTCTGGTGCTCGAACTGCAGTTAGCCATGTGGGAGTCCAGTGATGTAATCACTATACCATCGGCTGGTCCCAAGAAGTTAAAAATTTTAAGTACAGAGGATTTTCAAAAGTTCATGGAAAATGCATATTATGAAAAATTTTGCATGTATTTCAAAATGTTTTTGCACCATAGTAAACTTGTACCTTAATTTAATTTTTCCTTGAACTTTTTGCCAAGATAAGGTTAAATAGGTGAGTTGTATTTGCCACCAGGAAATACATTGCATTCACTGTTAACCCCAGTTTTGCTCGATGGAGTAAAAGCACAACCCATCTTATCAGGCCTTAGGAATTCTGACATAAGGCCTAAAACATAGTTACATTTACTTACTTAAAAACTATCCCTGCTTCTAACACTTGTAGCTTTAGTCTTGTGACCTCTGCATCAGGCAGGGAGAAAAAAAAATGAAGTCATATGGAGAAGAAAACTAAAAATGTATAAATCATTATACCAACCTATACCAACTATACCAACTTAGTCATACCAAGTATGATCTCTCTCTCCCCCCCATCTACCAGAAAAACAGAGGAAAATCAGGAGAATCTAGTGAGGACACTCCTTTAGTTCTACTTGTTTTGAGTATAGACATATACTTAAAGCTTCATGCCTTTCTCTCCCCCAGTTTTAGGCAGCTAGTATTGTAATTGCCTGTTCCACTTTTCTATCAAACTATTACTCTGAGGAGGATATCTCTCTGCCTGTTGTTGAACATCATGGGCTGTACAGTATGTTCCTTGGTCTAAAGTGGCCACCAGCTCTCTACATTCTGTGCAGGGGCTTTTGTTCTGGTTTTCTATAGCATTTTCAGCATTCACGTCTGTCAGCTAAGCAAAATTCAGTGCAGAGAGAGGGTCTATTCCTGTCAAGATCCACGTGTGGCTGCCTAGGGCTGCTTGCATCAGTATCACTTGCTAGCTGGGTTCAGGCCTTCCTGCCAGGGAATCTGCCATGTAGTCATCAGCAGTTTCCGTCTCGCTAGAAGACAGAACAGCTCTTAAAAGGGACATATCTATCTTCAGCCCACCTCTGCCTTGTTGCAGTACCCCCATATCCATTCACTTCATAGCCCAGGTGGCCACTGTGTGAGCACATGGGAATATCTGCTCATTGATTCTAGTCATCTGAACTTGGGAGGGAGTTTTTCTGATGAGCATCAACATGTTCTACTTTAATGCACTCCTCAAATTTCCACAGGGCTGTGTCACACTGGCATCCCTTTAATTGACCAGTTTTAATTTCCCTCCTGACAGAGTATACAGCCAGGCCATTGGCTACTGTGCATGAGTCAGTAAGAACCCAAACATAGAAGCTTTTACCACTCTTCACGTATATCACTGCTAGAAAAGCTCATGCAGTTCAACCTACTGGACTGATTTGTTTTTATCTTTGATCAGAGCAGCATCTTTCCAAATGGATGTTCTCCATTCACCTTGAAGCTGTCATCCACACACCAAGCAGCTCTTGTGTCAGTTAGTTGAGAGCTGAAACGAGAAAAATAAGAGCCCTTTTATTCAAAATGGGGCTGGAAGGCATTAGGCAAATTGAGTTCAGACAAGTAGAAGTTGGATGGCCTTGGAATGTGCACTCCTCCCTTTGGCACTGCGCCTCTGAGATAAAGACTTGAAATAGTTCTAGAAGCTGCCAAGGCATCATTGGACTTTGTGTTTTATGAACATCCTTATTGGGCAAATGTATTTCTCCTTTACCTTCTACTAGTCATGTACA